TAATTTGTAAAGTTTGGGGTAGCCCACATTTAAAAAAAATATTTGAGGCTTCTCTTAAACAATGAGAAAAATGGCAACAGACCCCACATTCCCATTTGGCTAGAACCAGCAAAAGAAAAGGGCCCCAGGACCCTACAGGAAAGGTGTATCTCAAGAGCATAGCATTCTGAAAGGTCCAGGTGATGATGACCTGTTAGTGGGGTAGGAGGAGCTTTTTTATAATGAAATGCTCCAATATATCACGCATTGGAAGAGTAAGTACTGCTTTAGGAGGTATACACAGGCAGCCACCTGTCTGTGATCAGTCCTGAGGAAGAGTGTTATTTCCGCTGTATCACGCTGATCCCAGTCCCCACCACTTCCCAACCTTGCTCATTTCCGTACCCGCCTGATCCCTGGAAGTATGTGAGTTTTCAAATTAATAGTATGACTCATGAGCCAACACAGAAAAAGTCCTGAAAACAATAATCTAAGGGCTGACTGAGAGGTGGGGTGATCTGTGACTTTCATTTTGATAAATAACAATTACTGTATGATAAGTACATGCTGATATGATGAGAAAAGAGTATACCAAAATGTTTTTCCCCCTCCCTAAAGAGTAACCCATAGTTGAGCTACATAGTGATAGCCAGGCACTAGGATTCTTACCCTAATACACACTCATGACTTAAGTCAGGATCCTGCAAGCAAATATTGGCAAAGGCATCAATTCTGGCCAAGAGCTCTAGATCAAGGGGGAGGCAGGATAATCACTGAGAATATACACCACTCTGACTAGTAATCAGGACACCATGAGTGAAAGGCTTCTGGCTGAGCAAACTGCTCCTTAGAAAACAAAATCAGGGCAGCCCCAGTGGCTCAGCGGTTTAGCGCTGCCTGCAGCGTGGGGTGTGATCCTGGAGACCCAGGATCGAGTCTCACGAAAGGCTCCCTGCATGGAGCCTGCTTCTCCCTCTGCCTGTGTCTCTGCCTCTCTCTCTCTCCCCACTTCTCTGTGTCTCTCATAAATAAATAAATAAAATCTTAAAAAAAAAAAAGAAAAGAAAATTGACTTCTGTGGATTACAGACACCTGATTCTGAGTTCTTCCATTCCCCCACCCCTAAAACAAAAGGTTTCTAAATTCTCCTAAAAGTTTTATTTAAAAATTTACTTATTTTAATGTGTAGTCTTATGTTGCTGAACCACAAAATCTTTACTGCTGAAACTAGTACAGCTTTTCTATCCTAGGACTATCTTTTTTTTTTTAATAATTATGGATAAATCACAATATCTCAATTATACACTCCCTGACAGTGGGGGATTTTCAATAAACAGTCCACTTCTCTTTCTACTAAATGCTACCATCGCTGCTAACAGCAGAGGGCACTAGGGTGCAACGAAAAGAACACAGATCTAGAATCAGGATCTGGCTGTGGGAACAGAGGAACATCCCTACACTGTCCACAGGGACCTCAACTCACCTTCCATAAGATGGAGATTGAAAAAAAAAAAAAAAGATGGAGATTGACCCACAGTTCCTTCTAATGTAGTCTGTAATAGAGGTTGGCAAACCAACTCATGGGCAAAAGCTAGCATACCACCACCTGTTCTTGCAAGGCCTGCAAGGGTATTTACCATTTGTAAATGGTTGGGGGGAAAAAAAAAACCTAAGGGATTAATTGTTCATGAAACACACAAATTATATCAAATTCGAAGTTCAGTATCACAGCCACGTATTGCCTGTGCCTGTCTTATTAGCACAATGACGGTGTTGAATAGCTGCACAGTTGTGACAGAGGCCCACAAGCCTAAAATATTTACTATCTGGCTCCTTGCAGAAAAACAGGATAATTTGTAAGATTAAAATGATTTGGAATACCGCCTTCTCTACCCATACTACTCACTGGCTGTCTATCTCATAATTAGCAAAATGATCCAAGCACATGCTGGCAAGGAGATCATATTTTTGGAAAAGGGATTTTAAAAAGTCTCCTGAAATGGAGAATCTCATTTACCACTTAGAAAAACCATTCAAATAAAAAGGAATTTTGTCAGGAATCCTAATGTTGTTTCAATTCTGCTATGTCCCAAGGAAAGAAAGCTTAATTAAACATAAAACCTGTCCTCAGATTCCTACAAAACTGTATTTCCTGAATACGGAACAGGATAATCAACAGTGGTTCACAGACCAACATGTTCTAATTTACAAGTTAGGTATTTACTTCATGCATATTAGAGGGGGAAAATGCAGTAAGAATTTAAGCACATGAGTTTATACATATTATTCAGCTTAGGATAAAGTGATGTTGCAAAAAAAAAAGCGATGTTGCAGATTTAATGTTTAAGTATGTAGTAAAAACAGAGATATTAGCATAGAGCAAACTGGTGGTGACGAAAGTTCAGGTAACAGTGATTCAGCAGGACTGCTGCCTGGTTAGGACACCTCAAAATCGAGCTCTCTAGGAGAGGTAACAGGCTGCAGAGTTACTGTGATTATGTATCATGTTTTGTTAACTTAGCTTAAATTGCATCATGTCACAGAATAAAAGCAAACTTTAAAGAACTCTGGTCTAAAAAAAAATTAAAAAATAAAAATAAGAACTCTGGTCTAAAACTAGGAGGCAAAAGAAAATTTCTGTTCTGAAAGTATCTCAACAGAAGTTGCATCATCTGAGAACAAAGCTCTGAAATGCAACCGAGTGCCTAGGACCACATGGTTAGGATCACAACTGGGGAAAACAGATCACAGCCTTTATTTTGAAGAACTGGAAGCCACTGGTACTTAACTCTCTCTCCACCTACAGCCATTTTGGGAACAGCTCCAAGCAGTACCAACCAACCAAGAACAAAAAACAACACAACCAAACTGATGAATTCTTTGAGCTCACTTGATGGGAGTTCCCGTTGTTTTACCTTTTGGGGACTTTTGTGATCTCTTGAAGAAGAGGTGACAGGTCGTTAAAGAGTTCTTATGTAAAGGGAGGGAGGGAGGGAGGGAGGGAGGGGTGAAGGGAAGAGGAAGATGGAGGGTGGGGGGTCTGAAGAGCTATCCAAGTTTAAGACATTGGCCTAAAACAGACGGCCCAACCTACAGATGGATTTTATTCATTCCGGAAAATATCCTAAGACATTTTGAGCTGACATTTAAGAATTGAGGGGGAGGTTGGGGAGGGTCTTAAATAAGAACGCAAATTTCCCACAATTCTGGAATAATGAAAAGATCAGAAAACCAAGAGGCCATATTCCTGCTTGGCAACCACAGGTCTTGAAGCCCTTGAGGTAAGTCATGTGTCCAGGGGTTCATCAGGTCCTGCCCTCTCGACAGCCTCCCCAGCCCAGAGCCTGAGAGGTGGCTGTATTTTATCATCATGCTTAGTGTAGAAGCTTCTCTGTGCCCCTATTTCTCAGAGGTAAACCAACAAAGGATAAACAGTGAAGGCCATGTTTCAAGAAAAATGAGAGTAAACCCATTTCCTTGTGAAAGTAATAAAGTTTCTAAATATTAGACATACACCAAATAATATCTGGGTAGAAAGAATTCAAGTCATTCCCTTCCTTATACTTCGCCAGCATCCCTTTTACCTCACTTCTCTGAATCTGTGTAGGCATTTGCTGAGCAATCACCCTAAGAAATAATATAGAAGCCCACATCTTTGTAGCACTTGCTATTTTAAGCACTGTTCTGAATGCTTTGTGTATCCGTCTTCATTTAACCCTTAGCAAGAACCTATGGAGCAGGGACACTTGGGTGGCTCAGCGGTTGAGGGCAGTTGAGCGTCTTGCCTTTGGCTCAGGTCCTAGGATCAGTATCACATTAGTCTCCCCACAGGGAGTCTGCTTCTCCCTCTGCCTGTGTCTCTGCCTCTCATAAATAAACAAATAAAATCTTTAATTAAAAAAAAAAAAAGAAGAACCTATGGGGCAGATCTGTTATTATGTCACATTATAGATGAGAAACTGAAGCATTCACTTAAGTATCTGGGGGGCCTAGGTGACTCAACTGGTTGGGCAACCGACTCCCGATTTCAGTTCAGGTCATGATCTCGGGCTCAGGGGATTGAGCCCCATTTCAGGCTCCACGCTCAGTGCGAGGTTAACCAACATTGGTCCTTTCAAAGATTGGTCTTTTCTTTTTTTTCAAGTTTAAAAAAAATGTATTTTATCATTTTATCAGTGCGGGGTCTGTTTGCCGTTTTATTTCTCCCTCTCCCCCCTGCCCCTTCCCACACTCATGCATGCTCTCTATCTAAATAAAATAAATACATAAAATCTTTTTTAAAAAAGACATTCAGTATCTTGCCTAAAGCCACATGGCTAGTAAGTGGCAGAGCTGGGTTTTGAGACCAGCATCTTGATGCTTTTTTTATTTTTTAATTTTATTTAATTATTCATGAGAGACAGAAAGAGAGAGGCAGAGACACAGGCAGACGGAGAAGCGGGCTCCCTTCGGGGAACGTGATGTGGGACTCAACCCCAGGACTCCAAGATCATGCCCTGAGCTGAAGGCAGATGCTCAACCACTGAGCCACCCAGGCGATCCCAGCATCTTCATTCTTAACCACTATTCTATACCAAGTGTCAACCAGGGCAACTTTTCTTTAAGGAGTGGGAGTGTTCTGGGGCGAGGACATTTACTGCTGACCTTACACACTGCTCTAGTATCTGAAGGTACAGTTTTGACAGATAATCTTCCGAGTAAAATAACATTCTTAAGAAATAAACTGTTAGGGGTAGTTTTGCTGTTCTGATAATCCAAGAGACATTTGACCTGAACTCTCACCTCTGCAGGGAATGACCTCCATTTGACCTTTGGGGATCACTGGTCTCATTTCTTGATTCCTAACAGTAAGAAGCCCACTGGGTTACCCATTTAAAATTTTAAATATAGTCTACTGGAGCAAAACCCCACACAGCTCCCCTGGATTCTGTGGTGCTGGCCAGCTGGAACCCAACAGGCATGGCCCCAACAGAAGCCTCATATCCCAGAGGCCTCCTCCCCATCTCCTTCCCAAGGCTGACCTGTGCTCTTGTCCAGGAAATCCATGGACTCCTCACTGGCACTGAAGTGGCTCGACGTGGCCTTCTTCTCAGCATCCTGCTCCACATCAGAGCCCGTGTGCACAGAAGAGTTTGTACTCATGGGGGAGCGTGGCATGTCCGACAAGGAAATCCTGCGGCCTGCGCCCCCACTCAGCATGGGCTTGCTCATCAGGATCTTGGGGGAGGCCGTCATGTCAAAGTTGAGCTTGACCTTCTCCTGTTTGTCTATCTTGGCGGCGCCAGCACTGGGGTTGCTGGGATCAAGGAGCATTTGGTACTGGCTGTTGGGTGTGTAGGGCGTCCTAAAAGGAGAGTAATTAAAAACCCCAAATTTCCTGCGGATGTTCTCCACATACACCTCCATCTCTTGCATTGCACTGTTGAAGATGCTTTTCGTCTTTTTCACAGAAAAAGGAATTTCTTTAGACATGAGGTAGCAATTATTTATTGGAACCCAGGCCCTAGAAGTACAGAAGAGAAAGAGAGGAGAGGTTAACCAACATTGGTCCTTCCAAAGATTTGTCTTTTCTTTTTTTTTTTTCAAGTTTTTCAAAAAAATGTATTTTATCACAGCATGTTTAAGCATATGATACACCACTGTCGATCATGGACACAGGTTGTACGGTGGATCTCTACAGCCTATTCATCGTTAACTGAAATTTTATGCCCAGTGACCAGTACACCCCCATATCCCCCACCCCCAACCCCTGGCAATCCACCATTCCACCCGAGTGACCAGTACACCCCCATATCCCCCACCCCCAACCCCTGGCAATCCACCATTCCACCCGTGAATTCTGTGAATGCGAATGCTTGAGATACGTCCTACAAGTGGAATTCATACACTATTTGTCCTTCTGTGACTGGCTTATCTCACTCAGCACAATGACCTCTGGGTTCATCTATGTCGCCCCATCTTTTATAAGGGCTGAACCAGAACCCATGATGTGTACCTACCACGATGTCTTTACCCATTCATCTGACAATGGACATTTAGGTTGTTTCCAGAACTGTTTATTTCCTTAACGCAAACCAAATTAGCCTGGTATGTTTGCCAAGAGTCTTGAATGTGTATCCCATTCTTTAAAAATGACTTGGTTTGAATGGTTAATACATGATTAACCATTAACCCAGACGTGTTCTGTCATAAAGAACAGAACATGAACAACAAACTTAGTTAGAACATTAAAAAGCTCATAGATTTAGTCATTTTAATCCATTAAAAAAATAAATCCATTCCTTTTGGCTTTGAGTGAGTAGAGAGTAAGAAAACGAGCACTGAGGGCACCTGTTGGTGCAGTCTGCTAAGTGACTCTTGATTTTGCCTCTGGTCATGATCTAAGGATTTTGAGATCAAGCCCCACATTGTGCTCCATGCTCAATGCAAAATCTGTTTGGATTCTCTCTCCCTCTCCCTCTGCCCCTCACTGCCATGCTCTCTCTCTCTCTCAAATAAATAAATCTTAAAACAACAACAACAATCCTGCATCCAGGACTGCACCTTCTAAGAGAGAATCGGTCCCATAATCCACTGCTCTGCACTTAGAAGTAAAGAGCTTTCAGGGCACTAGAAAGAAATGCTGGAAGACTGGGGCTCTACATGGCACTAGAAAGAAATGCTGGAAAACCATAAACCCAAAAGGAGGTGCATGGCTTCAAACAGGAGATAATCCATATGGAAAATGAGCAAAAAACCAGCCTCTACCTCCCATCCCCGGCTGGTTAGTCTTCCTATCTTCAGCCCCTCACAACCCAGGATGTTCTACAGGGACTTCAGGAGAACAAGAGCTGCTTTTCTGGAGTTAGTGGCTGACCACAGGCAGGAGATGGCAGTATAACCACTGCTCAGGGCAGGGCTGGGGTGGAGCCAAAGTGTGAACCAGAGGACATACAGTGTGACATTTGATTCCCCAGCCTCAAACACATTTGTAGCTGGGAATCTGGTGGGAATGAGCTTTTCCAAGGAGGCCTTTTGGATTTCACAGACAGTAAACTCAAGCCAGGCACAAAGCAACGGGAAGCAAAGAGGACCATGGGGCGGTAATACAGTCCAACGCAAACACTGTGTACTGGGGAGCCTCACAAGTGCCCAAGCAGGAATCAGGCCCCCACACTGCGGAGTCGTCCAGCATTTTAGAGAGAAGCAAAAAGTATGGACTGCTTATATTACATTTTAACCAAATGTTAACAGTGGGCATCTCATTCCTATTTTGAAGAGTAAACGGCCTGGCCCGGGAAAAATAAAGTATGCACATGGGGTGGAATTCAGGGCACAGGCTGGGGAGGTAGGCCGTTCATGGTGATAACTAGATCGTGACACAAACTAAAACTGAACACCCCAAAAATATCTAACTGCTCTCTCAGCGTGCTGGAAATTACCAGCTTCTCATCCACCCCAACTTGCTGCTGTCATCCTACGGAGACCAGAGCAACCACATGTGCAGCCAAACAGAACAAGGCGGAGCAGGAGCAGGATGCTCTCTGGGTGAGAGACCGTGGCTGTTTTAACTGGATGAGCAGGACTCTGGACTAGACAGGACAGCTCTGAGGAGCAACCAGGATGCCCCAGTTGCCACTGGACAAAAGACTGCCCCTCCCCGAGCTGGCCTTGGCCCTGTCATCAGTAAAATGGGAGGATGAGCCTCAACCTAGAGGGGAGGTCAAGGGGAGCAAGCGAAATGCACCTGCACCAGTCCCCATAACACCAGGAGCTCACCGCTTACCAGGCAGTCAGCCACACTGTGACTGTGTCCCCACACACACATACTTCTGCCTGGGGGCCTCTGTGACTGTGCCCCCCACCCCACCCCCCGTCTGGAGTCGGGGCCTTAACTATTTCCTGCCAGGCTCTCAATTGCCTTCAATAAAGGTGTCTGCCAAGTAATTTCAGGAAAGTATTCCCTTTCCTTAAAGCAGGCCCAGGACACAGTTAAAGGGAAATTAGATTTGCTTAACAAAATAAAGCCTCTAGGGGCAATGCCATGAGAGGCAGCAGTCACAGAGCTGAACTACTCCCTATACTCTGGGCCTCAAGTTTTCTTCTTTGTAAAATGAGAATAGAGAATAAAGCAGCTTCTGCAAAAAGCACTTAGAACAATGCCTGCTGCGTAGAAGGCACTCAGTTCCTGCAAGCTCACTCTTCTATAGCTCTGCAGGCATTTAATAAAATATTTCCTGGATTTTTATATAGTATCATGTATATGTGTGTTCCTATGAAATCAAGCACCCAAAAAGCAAACAGCAAATTTTAAAGGATGAAAAGCACACAGTGAGATTCTTCAGAACATGCCTTGATCTGTAAGAGCACCTCCCTGGGCTCGCTCTAGTATTTATTAATAAGACGATAAACACATAACACATGCTATTCTTATTAAGAAATGTGCCATTTCGGGCAGCCCAGGTGGCTCAGCGGTTTAGCGTCACCTTCAGTCCAGGGCCTGATCCTGGAGAACTGGGATCAAGTCCCACGTCAGGCTCCCTCATGGAGCCTGCTTCTCCCTCTGCCTGTGTCTCTGCCCCCCCCCTCTCTCTCCCTCTCTCTCTGTCTCTCTCATGAATAAATAAAATCTTTAAAAAAAAAAAAAAAAGAACACCTCCCCTGCAAGGAAGGGACTTTAGTGGCTTCATTCCTAGAGATCTAAGGTTCTGTTACTCCACCACCATGGAGAGTCCTTAACCACTCCAAGGGGTTCACCCAAAATGAGTCAATAGTTTGGCACATTCCCTCCAAGGCAGCAGAAGTCACTGAGGGGGTTAGGCAAACATCACGGGCATCAACTTGGGCTGCTGTCCTTTTCCACAAATGGGGGGGGGGGGTAGCTTCCACAACAGCTCCTTCCCAGAACTAACCTACACCAGCAGATCCTGGAGAAACAGCTCTGGATCAGGGCTACCAGAACTCACACCCGCTAAGCCACATTCAGTAGCTGTCTCATAAGCAGCAGGAAGATGTCCATGCATAATGGGCTAAGCTGAGAGCAGAATCAAAGACCCTAAGAGTCCTGACAATATTTGGTGCATGGGGCCAAGCACTGATTTCCCCCACCCACCTATATCCTAAATATATCCACACTGGGTCATAACTACAGAACTGAGAATAATCTCTAATCACCAAGATGGTTAACACTTGCCATGCTATCATGAAGCAGCAGGAAGATACACAACCTGACAATAATTCCTCTTGCTCTTCAAAGAAAAGGCAGACTGACCACAGCCTGTGTGATCTGGACCCTGCCCCTTCCCCTACCCATCTCTTACCCTCCTCTCCCCCACCTTCCAACTATCCAAACTACCCTGCGCTCCTGGCTTTTCCAGAGCACAGCAGGCTGGCTCTGTCTGGCCCTCCACTCAGATCTTCACTAAACCCCAGCCATTACCTCCTCATCTGAGATCATTTTGCCCGTGTATTTACTTGTGTATTATTACCTATAATAGGATGTAGCCTTCAGGTGGACAGGAACAGTGTCTATCTGCTCACTCCCATATCCCTAACACCCAACAAGTAGCCTGGCCCACAGCAGGAACCAAAGATTTCCAGCAAAGTGGTCAGAATCAAACAAAGCGAAAGGCTTCCTATCAAACCCGGGACCATCTCAGCGAATTCCCATTTTCCCTCCAGACAATGGACTTCTAGCAACATTTACTCCTTTGTTTTTTATTTGCAAGACAACAAGCAAAGCTGAACAAAGTAACAGTTCGGATTCTGGTGTTTGAAATTATGAACTGTATTTTCTATGCATTCTGTGGGTGATATAATTTTTAGAATACGTGTTTTAAGTATTCTCCCCAACACACTCAAAACACTTTTTTCAAGCTGCTTGGGAGGGCTTCAGGAGTTTTTTGTGCTTTGTTGAATCACAACATAGCTTGCTAAAGAGAACTAAGAAATTAACCATGGCTCATCTGGGTCTACCTGTTGTTCTCAAGCACACAGAAGCGGGAACTGCTAAGAGCTAGAACAATTCACTTCCCTGTGAGCAAGGGAAAGGGGAGGGTAGAAAGGCTGGTGGGGAGGGCTCCCACCTGTTAAAACAGCCACCTCTTATAATTTACTATTTTAGCTTCAGAGAAAAGGCCACAGGAGGGAACTACCCAGCACAATGATAAGAGCTTCATTTACTGGCAATCTGGGGAAATACTTCTGATCTCTGAAAGCATTATTTTGAAAAGCAATTTGCACAGCGGTTTAATTTACTCCAGAAGATCCAAAAAAAAAAAAACAGCAGCACTTAAAATAGCCATGGAACCTATTCGGCGCCGGTTTCATCAACAAAACTACGAAAGCAAGATTCTTCTCTTAACATACCTGAAAACACGGAAGCCCACACATTAACAGGCTTAACACAGCCCAGGACTGTATTTTCAACCATAAGATCACGGGTGGGTGTCATGACAATAACATAATAATACCTCCACTCCTGCTTGCATCCATGACAGTATCAAAGGTTCAGTGAAAGCTATACGTTTGCAGCTGGTTTTAACTCCCACCTGTCATGTTGTCCAAAGAAACGAGCATCAACCTGCCCATCTTTATCCCTCAGAGCTTTTGCAGGCCAGAATGGAAACCCCTTCAGTTTTGCCCAGACCAAAGGATGTGGATTGCTCTAGGAAAAGAAAAACAAAATCCAAAGTTTGTATGTATTTGACAGCAAGACACACATGTAAAGCTCGCTGTGGGAGGACACAGCAAGGCCACCAACTGAATGGAGAACAGTTCCAAGCAAGGTCTCCCAAGTGGGCTTCCCTAGGAGGGCATGAGGCCAAGTCAGGCCCGGGCAAAGCTTGTTTGGGGGGCAGGGGGTGAATGAAGCAGCAGAGGGACGAAGCACAGACCACGCTTGGATCCTGCCCCTAGTGCTAATGCCTGGATGGCCATGAGCAAGAGTGAACACCTTCCTTTGAAACATGGAGACAGCAATGCCTACACCCTCTGGGAAGCTGGGGGAATAAATGTACATTGTACCTGGCATATAACAAGGGCAGTATTAGCCACTTTTGCCCTTTATCGAGGCTGCTCAGAGCCTTAACAAATGCAGGTGTTAACAAAGACAGGAAGAGACATAAACTATCTTCTACTTTTCTACTTTGCTTGCCCAATCTTGCAGCCCAGGAAGCTCCACCCCTACACCTCCTCCCAACCTCCCACCAGCCCACCCCAAGGACATGCTTCTCTGGGCAGAACACCTGTTTAGAAAATGAAGATCCAAGAGGAAAATGGTGATTTTTTTCTCCCAACCCCCTACCCTCAAAAATTAAGTCACTGGAGAGACCGTGGAGTCAATCCAGAGAGGTATTTCTGAACCTCTCAACACAGATTCGTCAAGAACATCCTCAAGTAACTCTTCTCCGGCTTGCTATCTGCATTACTGTGGAGGGTCCCCTCCCTAATGAGCACCTTCCTGCTCTCTACCCTGCAGTTGGCCCAGGGATTAATAAACCCAGGAAATCACAATGCTCCCTCTGGTACGTGAACGTTCAGCCCCAGAGGTTTATTCTACCTGGATTACTCACATTTTGTCATAGCTTTATCACTAAAACAGCATTTAAAAACTTCACCCAGGGATCCCTGGGTGGCGCAGTGGTTTAGCGCCGGTCTTTGGCCCAGGGCGCGATCCTGGAGACCCGGGATCGAATCCCACATCAGGCTCCCGGTGCATGGAGCCTGCTTCTCCCTCTGCCTCCCTCTGCCTGTGTCTCTGCCTCTCTCTCTCTCTCTGTGACTGTCATAAATAAAAAAAAAATAAAAAAATAAAAAAAAAGAAACTTCACCCAAGGGATGCTTGGTTGGCTCAGCAGTTGAGCATCTGCCTTCAGCCCAGGGTGTGATTCTGGAGACCCAGGATCAAGAGGGAGCCTGCTTCTTCCTCTGCCTGTGTCTCTGCCTGTCTCTGGGTCTCTCGTGAATAAATAAATAAAATCATTTTTTAAAAATAAATAAATACGGAGATCCCTGGGTGGCTCAGCGCCTGCCTTCAACCCACAGCATAATCCTGAAGTCCTGGGATCGAGTCCCACATCAGGCTCCTTGTATGGAACCTGCTTCTCTCTCTGCCTCTCTCTCTCTGTATCTCTCATAAATAAATAATTTTTTTAATTTTTTTTAAAATAAGTAAAATAAATAAAATAAAATAATCTTCACCCAAATTTCATCGAATAAGCCACCTGGATAAAGTGGCCTCTAGGGGCACCTGGGTGGCTCAGTGGTTGAGCGTCTGCCTCTGGCTCAGGTCATGATCCTGGGGTCCTGGGATCAAGTTCTGCATCGGGCTCCCCAAAGGGAGCCTGCTTCTCTGTCTGCCTATGTCTTTGCCTCTCTCTCTGTCTCTCTCATGAATAAATAAATAAAATATTTAAGAAAAAAAGAAAGAAAGTGGCCTCGGGTAGCCATCTAAGACATGGGGTTCAGAAAATGAAGTAAGGAAAGAAAATGCAACTTACACAAGGCTCACAAAACCAGTTATCTCGTTTTTGGCAAGCAGCTAGGTAACACTCCGGACATACTTCAATTTCATTCATCTGCAAAGCAAAAATATGTTAGGATGTGTCATCCCAGGGGCCTCACATCTGGAGGCCCTTAAGGAATGCATGACGGTACAACAGCAGTTAAGTTTAGCTAAACCAGGTCCCGCAGTAGGGGACACCTTTAAGAGGGAGTCCAACTACCTCCCACCAACCCCCATGCTTCCACCTAGACCAAGCTGCCACCACCTCCTCTCTCTTCAAGACACCTGCCCCTGGTCTAAATGCAGCAAAGTGGCAAGGCCAGGATCTGAACCCAGGCAAGTCAGACCCTGTTTGTTAGTTGCTATTACTGTCTCATCAGACTTGTTTTTCTCTTTATCTCTGCATCGTGTAAGGTACCAGATGCCTAGCAGGTGCTCAATAAATTATTACTAATAATGTTGTAACTATAATTGATTAACTTAAAAGTCAATGAATAACTGAATGAATAAGGGAGCAAAAGAATAAATGAATGAATTAATGGTGGCATATGGTTCCCCCTTCTCCCCTTTCTACCTGTGTGCTATTCCAAAAGTACTGGGTAAACAAGCCCTGGCTTTGGAGATCATCCAGTGGTAACATAATATTGCCAACAGGTAGATTCAGAAATGCCAGACACAGAGTACCTGGGTTCAGATACTCTGCCCCAAATTCCACCTTGGGGCAAACCATGATTAAAAGCCTTGGCTCCCAAATGTAGGAAAACAAATGAAAACCCAAGGGGGAAACAACCGGACAACTCACTCACACAAAACTCCACATCAACAACGAACATATCAAAAACAGGCCATCACCACTTGTCATCAAAGAAGTGCAAACCAAAATCACAGCGATATGCCAGTTTTCACTGATTGCATTGTAGGGAAAATATATACCTGTTTTTTAAATAAGAACTTCCAATATTGAGGAGGACACAGAAAAACTTCCATTCTCACCCAACCCAGGGTGTTAAGTTGCTACAGCTTTTCCATAAGCCAATCAGGGAATATCTACCTAGTCTTTGCTATGTTTATAGCCTTAGACATGGTAGATGCCTTTCTAGCATTTATGCTAAGAAAATCATCGTAACAAAAACAAAAAATTGTCCTTCCTGTGTGTGTTTAATTACAATAAGGAAACACTCACACTAAGTGAAAAATATAGATATAAAACTCTCTCATAAAAATATGTAGAAATGGACATATCCTAAGATAGTCAAATGTTTCCTTACAAATGAATGAATGAATGAATGAATGAACGAATGAAGCACACAGACATGTTGAAGTCTATTACATCTTGGTTTTTCACCCTTAAAATGGGGTGTCTAATAAAGCCTCCCTGGAACCATTTCTGCTCCCAGCCTACCCCACAACCACTAGAGCGTCAGGGCAGACAGCCCAGGAGTTTCATTTCTTCCATACCATGCCTGGGTGGCTCAGTTGGCTAAGCATCTGCCTTCAGCTAAAGTCATGATCCCAGGTTCCTGGGATCAAGCCCTGAGTCGGGCTCCCTGCTCAGCCAAGAGTCTGTCCCTCTACCTCTGCCCTGCTCATGCTCTCTGTCTCTCTCTCTTCAATGAATAAACAAAACCTTTAAAACACACACACACAAACACACACACACACACACACACACACACACACATACACACACACCACTGTGTATTTCCAAGAGAGACTGACTCTCCAGGACTCTCCAGGCCACGCCGAGGAACAATCAGGACCATTCGTTCTCTCACATAACATCAAAACTCAAACATCTTCCATGAGAAGTGTAAAAGGGTATGCATAGCCCAATGCCACAGACTGTGGGGTGAAGAAATTATGAGCCCTATCTATGCTACCAAGATAACTCAGGATGCCGAGTGCTGGCAATGACTCAAGAATGAATAATAAAGGGTCATTTCCAGCTCCCTTGGTCATGGCTAAGATAGGGTTGGTTTATAACACACTGACGTCCCCTCTTTGTCACTTTAACTTTTCTTTGAAGAGAGGGCATACTGTCTACACCTCAACAAATCCCAAAACTGCTGACCACTGAGAGACTCTGCACATGGAAACCAGCCCCCCAGCCCCACACTGTGGGTGCATTTAAAATAGGACAGTGAGAAACACATACCTCATGCTCACAGATTTTGATGACTACCTTTGCTATCTGCGTCAATTTGTGATTTCCTAAGGGAATAAGAAAATATGAATTAATTCAAATGGAAACACGTTTTTAACACCCAAAGGATTATCCTTCCACTGACAACCTTTCAACTTCCTTTCCCCCAGGATTAAGCTTTTGAAGGATAAAAACCAGAAGATTCTGACTCCTAATATTGGTTCAAATTATGTGCCTTCACCCCCTAAACACTGACCAATCTTTGGTGCCTCAATGTCATCTCTGAAACTGAGTAATTTGTGTGGGATTCCTACAGCTCACAGGTTAATAATATCTGGAAGATGCTTTCACATTTCAAAGCCTCCAATTAGTGTAAAGGAGCCTTACTCAACCATTGTTCCGAACTCCAACCCATGAAGGGTAACAGGGGAAAGAAAATAATTGAGTAGCTCTGCTCTGCTTAGTGCTTCAAAAGACATTTCCTTGTTAACTCCTCAAGAAACCGTACTAGGAAGCAAGTATGAGTGTTCCCATTTCATTAATAAGTAAGCCAAGGCTCCAAAGTCATTGCTTACTCGAGACTACTTGGCTAATGAGTTGAAAATGCTCCAGGGGCACGTGGGTGGCTCAGTGGTTGAGCATCTGCCTTTGCCTCAGCTCGTGACCCTGTGGTCCTGGAATCAAGTCCCATGTAGACTCCCCAGAGGGAGCCTGCTTCTCCCTCTGCCTATGTCTGCCTCACTGTGTCTCTCATAAATAAACAAAATCTTTAAAAAAGAAGGAAAGAAAAAAAACATGGCCTCAGATCTAACTCTAAATCCCTCACCTGCGCACTATACCAGAAGACAAGATGGCCAAAAAGCCGTCTTTCTTCAGACCTTATGGTATCTTCATACATTGTGAATTTGCTGGCAAAAGATTTTACACACACACACACACACACACACACACACACACACACACACACACACGCCTCGATTCCTGGCTTGTCTTAAAAACTCAAAAGATGTGGTAACTCTATCAAAACACCACTGGGGTGTTCAATGGTGTTCCCTTCAGGCTGGGCAGGACTTCATTCCCCCAGTTCTCTAATCTAGCTCTCCCCTTGGTCAATGGCCATCCTGGTTTGAAATGCTCTTTTTCTGCCACTTAATCTCAATCACTTGTTTTTGTGATCTTACCAGTATTTCTATATATTTGAACTTATAATCTTTAGATGAATTTTCAACTGAGTGCCTCTTTCTCCCCTCCCAACACCCCTAGCCCCGCTACTGAGCCAATAACGCAAAATATGTGCTTTTAGCAGATATCCACCCACTCATACATCTTCCCTTGCACACTAGCTAACAATCTACACTAGGGCCATACAAGAAAAAGACAGGGTGTCCACTCTTCAATATCTTACAACAAAGAAAAAGAGAAGAAAAAAAAAGATCTTAACATCCTGGTAAGGAACTCAAACAAATAAAATTAGCCCCATCCAGGAAGTGTGATAAATGCTACCGTGGGAAAGTACAGGTACTGTAAGATCTCCTAACAAGAGCAACTATATGGTCTGGCATAAGGGAAGGCTGCTCAGAGGACTCACAGGCTGACAATGAAGGCTAAAACAAAGGCATCAAGGCACAGTGTTTAAGCAGGAAAGAAGAGGAACAGAATGGAGCAGGACACTGAAAGAGCTACCTGGCCAAAAGGTAGACAGAGAGGACTGTGGGAGAAGGTAGGGCAATATGAAAGGTGCCATGAGAGGAGACTTTAATGGAAATCCTCTTCCATTCTGTCCAGAAGGCTCAATCCACAAAAACGCAACTGACACAACTTTATCCAGAATATAAAGAACTCCTAAAATGCAATAATAAAAACACAAACCACCCAGTTCTTGAAATGAGCAAAATATCTGAAAATGTATTTTATCAAAAAAGATAAACAAATGATTAGTAAGTCCATGAAAAAATACATTAGGGAAAGGCATTAATCATTAATCATTAGGGAAAGGCAAATTAACACGACATAGCAGTTCACACTTTCAAGAATGGCTCAAATTTAAAATACAGACAACATCAAGTGCTGACAAGGATGTGGAGCAATTAAGACTCTCCTATGCATGGCTAGAAGAGTGTAAAATGATAGAACCACCTTGCAGAAAGTTTGCCAAAATGTCCTATAAATATAAATAAAAGCCTAGTCAATGAGCCAGCACTACTACTCCTAAGTATTTACCCATGAGAAATGAAAATATGTCTATACAAAGACAAAAAAGGATGTTCACAGCAGCTTTATTCCTAACAGCCAAAAGCTGAAAATAACCCAAATATCCTTCAACATCAACAAAGGGAATGGATAAATAAATTGCATGCTAATATAGTAAAAAACCAAACACAGTAATAAAAAGGAACAAAACCACTGGTAACACATGACATACGAATCCAAAAAAAGTTACACTGCATGAAATTAGCCAGACACAAAAGAATGCACTATGACGACATGTATATGAAATTCTAGGATATGTAAAACTAATCTATAGGGACAGAAAAAAAACGAGACGGATGGATTTATTGGTAAGGCAAGTGGGAATATAATAGAGTAATGGAAATATTCTAGATTTTATTTGAGGTTGTAGTTATACATTTAAGGTGGTTACACATTTCTCAAATTCAGAGAATATACTCACAAAAATCTATGCATTCTACTGCATGTAATTATTCCTCCATTAAAACAAAGTTTTTAAAAAGGACAGGTAAGCAGTATCATATAGCCACGAGCCACGACGGGTATCAGCTCACCCCTTAAAATGCACAGAGTCACCATCCCCTATTCACATATATTAGCAATCTATACACAAATAATTCTGTTTTTTTACCCTGGAGCATGAAAAAAAAAAAAAAAGTATGTTTCTTTTAGCAAGGGTAGGATATTGGGCATCACACACAGCATACACACTCTCTTTTTTTAGGAACCATCTAAGCCACCCACCTCCATTATAAATGATGCAGTTGTGCAAAATCCACTTTGCATCGGCCAGGAAAGCTTCTGTACATCCATACATTTTCTTTTTAGCGTTCTGGGAAGAAAAACCAAGGAGCATAATAACCCGTGAGTCTGTACAAGCCGCAGCCAATTAACACCTGCGTCCCCACATCATTTTCTTAGCAGTCATTTGCCAAATTAATTAATGCTTTTTACCCATTTCCCAAGATGCTATTATATTTGAAATCTAGAACGCCATAAAAAAGAAGTCACTGAACTCATCACAGTAACTTGAACTGTTTCCTCTTTTAGCAGCTGTCATTTATCACGCAGCCCCTTCCAAGAAACCAAGATATTTTGTATACTGGCATATTTTTTATTCGTTGTAACAGCCTCACGTAAGCCTTGTCACTAAGAACGCAAGGACACACCTACTATCATCACCATTTTACAGACAGGGATACTGAGGTCTGGGAGTGTTAAGGAACCTGTCCAAAGTTCCAGTGCTATAAATGGGTGAAGCTAGGATTCCACCCCTGTCTTTTCTGAATGCCTTCTTTTCTTGAATTCCATGAGGGTGTGTGCAATTTTCCAAAGCAAGTTTGATTCAGTGTTTGGGGGTCAGCAAGAAAAATATAAGGTTTTCTCCTCATCTGTGCTTTTCATTACCTATACTTTGGTGCCAAAAATTTGAAAATTTAGCACCAGGATGATGTGTACAATCTAAAGCATTCCAAGTTTAATTTCCAGCATGGAATTTTAGCCAGAACTTTTAAAAGCACCTTCAGGCAATAAAAACATATCCATAAAAGTCGAATAAGTTCTAGGAAGCCACCATCTTTATCAGCAATCTGAAAATTTCCCCAAACACTTAATTTTCTCTTTACTCCTTCCTGCTGCCCTCATTAGCACCTCTGAGAGAAAGAAAAGAGGAGGTAAGGCTCAAATTGATCAAATCACTGATTTGCAGAAGTGTAACTTTTTCAGGTAAAAGGGTGCAATCACCAGCAGAAGTAATATTTGGAGCTAATCAGTGGAATTCAACACTCCATTACAATCCTTGGAAGAAGGTTAAGGGGATCAAGAGTTCTTCCATCCAAATAAAATGGTAGGTACGGAGGAAAGGCAGAGAAACCATCTAACTTGAGATGGGGCACAGGAAGTGAGGGAGGGTCTTTGGTCATCTCGGTAATTGTGGGCTACGACGGTGAGGTTCTTTGATGGAGGCCAACCTTTTCCAATGTACAAAGGTCCATAGGATGGAAGATGTATTCTGCATAGTCAGGATGCTGTTCCAATGGAACAGGCTTCTGGAATGCATCTGTCTATAAAAGAAAGAAAAGATGCTCACACACACCCACAGAAACACAAACCCCCATCATTACTGTGGAAAACCAAGCATTAATAGTAACAAAGTACTTTTAAAATGGAGACAACTTTTCCCACAGTACAGTTCTAATGGTTTCCCCCAAAGAATTACCTTGGGGAGTACCAAGCTGGTTCAGCTTCAGGCTCTGCCTGGTTATCAATAATCATGGGGGGAGGGGAGACTCTTGTTTTGTTATCTGTTCTGTTTCCAATATATATTCAAATAGCAGGTCCTGTCTTCTTCTATAAAGATTGACCAGAACACACCATCAATCACCCCAGATATGAACTCTGAATAAGGCTTATTAATAAGGCTTACCTATGTCCTGCAAATACCCATAACCAAAACTGACAGTGAAATGTGGTCCTACCCAGAGAAGACACACTTAATAAAGTCCCTTTAAGTGCCAAGAGATATTTTACACTTGGGGGAAAACTAAGACAGTAAGATGCTGCTCCTCCGAGAAACCAAATTCCCCTCAACACAGGGACCATGTCAAACTTTTTCATCTTGAGCCATGTTCTTAAGCCCTCCCTGAAACAGCAAGGTCCAGTTTGTTGACGGATGCTTTTTATTTATCAATATATAAAAATCTACAAGATTTGGGGCCCCTGGCTGGCTCAGTGGGTGGAGCATGCAACTCTTGAGCTCAGGGTTATAAATTCAAGTCCCATATCAGGTACAAAGATTTAAAAATAAAATCTCAAAATCTTAAAATCAATCAACACCTAAAAGATTTAGTTAAACAACAAATGATAGCCAAGCATGGCATGTGAAAGGGCTACTACCACTTGTAGTCACTGGAGCCCTCTTTTACCCAGAAGGAAAGTGTGTGGCTACTGCAAGTTACAAAGATGCTTCAGTATCATTGGTAACTTTCTGCCCTGATTGATTTTATATCAAACAATTTATGTGAGAAATTAAGGCCTTCTTTGATTTTTCTCCTTGGTTTATAATTCTACAGTGTTGACGACTCTACACGAGTCTGTTCTTTTTTGTACAACAGTCCTCAGCAGATATAATTTAGCCTATGGAAAAGCAGGAAGTAATTCCATGTCACTCAACATAAAAACAACTCTACAGTAAAAAAAAAAAAAAAAAAGAAAGAAAGAAAAAAGTTGTTTTTCTTTCCAAACTGAGGCTATCTATGCTTTTGCTTCCATTGACGGAGATTTTGTTACAGAGACAAATAGATTCCCAATTTAGCAACACCCAATTGGCATGCTCTGAGGTTTTTTCGTGGTATCATATTTCAGAATATAATCTCAAAACAAAAGCTCGTTATTTTTTTTTTAAGAAATTAAGCCAGAGTGTCTACTCAGTACCCTGAGGTTCTATATTGCTATATATTCTCTCAACTTAGAAAGCAGCAGACTCTATAGAGAGTTTAACAAAAGGTCACCACTAGCCCATATGGTGCCTTTGTGCAAATCAGAAAGGGAAAACCCTACCTTTAAAGTTTCTCTAAATTGGTCTGTACGAAGAATGTCATGACACGTTGATTATATGGGCACAATGTATTATTTTTAAGAACGAGGCACTTTATGGTCATCCTCCTTAAAAATGCCACAAAAAACCTAAAACCACCACGGATATGATGTGACTGGGACTCTAGAGAGGGTAACCACCAGGAAACAGGGTGTGCCAGTGGAATATGGCAGTTCTGCTTTCACATCCAGATTACCTTTAGGGGACAAAGGCTGAAAAAAAAAAAAAGGACAAAGGCTGTACAACAAATTCCATTTCAAAATTGAAGGAATGAACCAACATCTCATCCTTTATAGGAGTCTCACAGGTTGAGTTTCACATGGAGGTTCCATCATCAGACCTTAGTTATATGTAAAGTGGACTGTACACCACTCTCTCACTGAAATGGAATTTTTTATTAACTCCCATGGGAAGCAGCACAAAAACTCCTTACCCGGAGGGTCTGGGCATGAGGTTTCATACAACCAACCACAATTTTGAATCCCCACCAACTTTCTACTACTTCATGTCACTTCCCAATTAAACTCCTTGGGGACATGGAGTGTTCACTATAGAGAATTAACTGAATGTCATTGTACCTTATGCTTAATTTACAGGTTGTTGAGCCAGGCACATAAGAAGGCCCCAAGAGTATGCCCAGGTGTCTGCAAAGCAAAGCCTACTCAAAACAAGAATGTTAACAGCAAAGAACAAAAGTCACTGTTTTCCATTTATGCTTCTACCAAGAGGAACATTCTTCTTACCCCTGGCTGTTTCATTTTCTGAATGGCAAACTTGAGGAGGTACGATAGCTGTTCAATGGTGAGCATTGTCATGGCTTTACTCTGAGTCTCGATGCATTCTGCTACTGTAATCTTCTACAAGTCAAAAATCACACAAACGTCCAGTTAGCAAAAAGTTAATATTCCCCCCCGTACATAGTTCCCTTTCCTCCTAATTTCCAATAAGCTCAAAATAAAAAATCCTTTCCATCCAAAGGAGATTACTTGTTCCACTTGAGAAGGACTCCAATCTAGTTGACTATACACTGAATCAGTGGATAAAAATGAAGAGGCACACCAATCCACTGATGACCTTATTTGGAAGGGTTTTTCCAAAAACTCATGAAGATGACAGATGCCTCTGAGAAACAGGCAGATAGGCAAGGACCTGAAAAATTGTCATGATGACAACTGTGGGTTTCAAGAATGGGATGTGAAAGGAAAGACCACTAATGGTTTTAGGGTGATCTCTGCACACAATGAATCAGTCACTTAACTTGCTTCTCTTAGCGTTCTGGGCTACCTTTCAGGAAACTGCCGAGCCATTAATGTCTCAATGACATCATTGATGGAAAAGGACAGTCTTCCCCGAAGAAGGAATTCAAGGGACGGTAGAGAGCTAAATATAAATATGACTTCATTCTCTGTCACCACGGATGTGAACCCACTCAGGACATTCTGGCAAACTACACAAGACGCATAGTCTAGCTATCGGTCTCCATGGGAAATAAATGTCATTTTGAAAAGGAAATTCCCATCAAAGAAGAGGCCCAGAGAAATGTCTGAAACCAGACTCTGCTATGTCAATCTGGTACCATATCCCAGAGCTTCAGGCTCCTTATGTAGCAGCAACACCAAAATAGCAAAGTCTGATGATGTCAGGAAACACTCTTTAACCATCTGTGTAGGGAGAGCTGAGAAAAGTTTTCTCCAATTAATCTTGATTTAGTTTCCATCCCTCATATCTCTGGATCCTCCAAAAGGAACTTTTAGATGTGTCTGGTTGGTTGTCGAGGAAAGGGCAACACATGAATTGCTCAGAAGCTGAAAACAGTATGTGACGCACATAGCTAACTCCTTAGCTACCCAAGCTGGAAACAGTCTTCCCAACTGACTGCATCGCCAATGCACCCCGGGAAGAAATTTGGGGCTCTACATCTTAGACACAGAACACCTGTCTGTTTGAATTATTGTTCATTTCCAGGAAACTATCCATAGTGAACACATTCACTTCTCCTCCATACCTGATCCCTTCCCTCCTGGCTGATAGTGCCTGGTTCTCATGATACAGACTGAAAGTACCAGTCAAGCATTTTCAAGATTTTTTTTTTTTTATGCTTGAAGACTGGCCCAATCCTGACCAATGAGGCCAAGGGCAAGTCAGCTGGAGGCTGTAGTAGGGCAAAGTCCTTCTGTGTTTGACCAAAAAAGGGTCGTACAGAGCAACACTCTTAGAGGGATTTTTGTCTAGATACAAGTGATAAAAACCCCAGCCATCTTGCGGGGTTTGAGGGGGTGGGGGGGCATTGCCTCAACAGGGAAACAGAAAGAGTCTGGCTGTGAACAAACTCTGGCCTGGCACTGTCTCTGGGTTCTTTCTACATTTTAATTTTTTTTTAATTTTTATTTATTTATGACAGTCACAGAGAGAGAGAGAGGCAGAGACATAGGCAGAGGGAGAAGCAGGCTCCATGCACCAGGAGCCCGATGTGGGATTCGATCCCGGATCTCCAGGATCGCACCCTGGACCAAAGGCAGGCGCCAAAACGCTGCGCCACCCAGGGATCCCCTGGGTTCTTTCTACAGATGAGAATAAACTCCTATTGTTCCACCCTGCATCCATCGAATCCATCAAGATCTATTACTTGTAACAAAAGCCACTATCTTTTCTACAAAATCATTAAACAACTGGGAAGGGTGGGTCAAGACAAAAAGAAACAAAGACTTCGGTGCCCACACTAAATGTAACAGAACCAGGTAGAGCTCTGCAACAAGAGGGCATCCCTGAGCAAAGCGCCTTATCTCTCTGTCTCAAGTATCCCAAGGAGAACCAGGAGCCATCTTTCACAACTTTAGGGGCAGAACACCATTAAAATATCATCATCATATCGATGTGGTGTCTAATCTCTTTTCATATGTTTCTTATTTTTCTCCTTTCCCAACACAAAAGCAGTACCACAGCCACCACGCTATAGCTTTTTTTTCCTCACTAAAGACATTGGGGAGAACGTTTCATTGCGTACATAAAAAGCTTTCTTGTTTGAGATCAAGTTCTAATATACCTTCGAACCCAAGTGACATTCCATGTTAAATGATTTTGTAGATGACATCATTTGCAGCATCTTGAAAAAGCCTTTGAATTGGAAGTTGCCAAGAAGAGAAGACACCGCAGAATTGTGGAAACAGTAATAATTGTTTTAATAAAAGGAAAACGTTTAGGCTTGCCTACAAATGAGATACAGATGTTCTTCACTAAAGCCAGTGCGCTTCTGCTCAGGTTCTGTACCTGCAGCCCTCTCACCTACAGGGGGGGCATGACTCACTTTTTTTTTTTTTTTTTTTTTTTGTAATTTATTTCTTCATGAGAGACACAGAGAGAGAGGCAGAGACATAGGCAGAGAGAGAAGCAGGCTCCATGCAGGGAGCCTGATGTGGGACTCAATCCGAGGACTCCAGGATCACGCCCTGGGTGTGAAGGCAAACACTCAACCGCTGTGCCACCCCTCACTCCTCCTCTTCTTCTTGAGGTTCTCAAATCTTAGTGAGGCCTTCCTGGGCCTCTTCTTATGAAAGGGAAACAAACACCTTCCACCCAACTCCTCCTCTTCATTTTATTTCATTTTTGTCCTCTTCTCCTGAAAAGCATGAAATGCGTGCCTCTTTTTGTTCACTGTTGGATCCCCAGCACCTAACAGGCACTCGAGAAACGTTGTGTCATGAATGAAAGCATCAGATGACAACCACATGGAGCACACAACCCAAACTGGTCTTCTCCGCTCGGGCTACCGCCGATGAGTCAATGATGCAGCAGGAGACAATATCCAAGAAGAGGAAAAACAGCATGCGATCTTTTCAACATATGTGAACTGTTAACAGTTTATAAAGTTAACTTCTGAAATGTTCATTACAGGAGAATGAGAGAAGGTTGCAGATCCCAGAGTGATCCAAAGACCCATGGAGAATCAAAACTGACACTCAGTGCAGTCTGAGTCTTTGAGATAGTTGCAGTGCTCAGGCGCCTGCCAAAGCTGGTCCCAAAAGGGGGTGACCAGGAGAGAGCAAGTGGAAGGCAAGACATTTCTTTTTTTTTTTTTTTCCTGTATCTGGATTATTTGAAAAATTTAAAATAAAAGGAAGGAAGAGAAAGGAAAGGAAATGAAGCAGATAATGCATTCATTCGTCAGGAACTAACCTCACATTCAGGACAAAACCAGTCCCCCTCTGGTTCCGATGTCAGTCTCAGACACTTAGCGTGATAAACCCGGGGACAGAGCTCACAGCAAAGGACTTGGCCTTCCCGGTGACAAACCCAGCAGTAGAAATCATTCCGTCCATCCTGCGGTACAACATCAACAGGGTCTGTGGTGAGTGGCTGCTTCATATAGTAAAACGGACCATGTCTTAGTTCTGACTGAAATGTAGGCAAGAAAGACAGGTTTGGTTTCAAAACAAATGTGCATTCTCAAAAGGAATTTGAACAAATACATCAATAACAACAAAAGAAAAATCACAGCATTTCACACATTCATTGAAAATCTATCTTGGGTTACTCTACTAAATACAGAGTCTGCAGGTCATTAGATACTAAGATTTTTCTATCTTTATCTCTCTCTCTCTCTCTCTCTCTTCTATTTTCAGAAGCCATAGATTGAAAAGCTGGTGTCTAAGAATTAATAGGCTGCCCTCGCAGAATAGTTACAACGGCCACAACCCAGACATACCCAGATTGAAAATTTAGCTCTACCAGCTGCATGACCCTGGACAAAACTCAACCTCTCAGCTTCAATTTTCTCATCTGCAAAATGGGGATAATAATACCTAACATCATGGCATTTGGGTTGGAATTAAGCAGGATGATAGACCGTATGCATTTAACACGGTGCTGCCATTACTAATATAATTAAGAGACCAACATATGGAAGTCTAAACAAAACCAACAAGTGTGGCAATTTACCCTAGGATTCTTTCAACAGCAGGCTTTGGGAGAATAAATCAACTGGATTTGAGTCACTAAGAAAAAGAAAAAAAAGCTACTCTTTTTCAAGTCTACTAAAGTATTCGAGCCAACCAATGGCTTCTTAAAGCCATGATTCTCTAACATGGTAGGTTTTTGCAGAAGCACCAGATATCCTATTCAGAACGACCAACAGCAGAAAGATGATACGAATGGCCAATTCACACCAATGGCCAATTTGTGGGACTCAAAACCCCTTCTGACTCCAGAATATCAAGAGAAATGTTCCCCTAATGACACATTATAGAATCTAGCAAAGCCACATTCTGAACACAGAAGATTACTCAGAAGAAATTCATTAGGAAAATGTCTACTGGAAATCGGTAACAAACACAGTATTTAAGAAGTACTATAAGGAATTCTGGGGGAAAGGTGCCTGGTAGCTCAGTCAGTTAAGCTCAGTCTTGGCTCAGGTCATGATTTTAGGGTGGTGGGACTGAGCCTCATGTCGAGCTCCGTGCTCAGAGGGGAGTCTGCTCAGTATTCTCTCTCCCCTTCTCCCTCTGCCCCTCCCAGCCTCCCTCAAATAAATAAATACATCTTTTTTAAAAGAAAGAGAAAAGAAAAAGAAAAAGGAAGGGGAAGGGGAAGGGGAAGGAGAAGAAGAAAGAAAAAGAAAAGAAAAAGAAAAAGAAAAAGAAAAAGAAAAGAAAGAAAAAGAAAGAAAAGGAAAAGGAAAAGGAAAGGAAAAGGAAAAGGAAAAGGAAAAGGAAAAGGAAAAGGAAAAGGAAAAGGAAAAGGAAAAGAAAAAGAAAAAGAAAAAGAAAAAGAAAAAGAAAAAGAAAAAGAAAAAGAAAAGAAAAAAAAGGAATGAAATGAAATGAAATGAAATGAAATGAAATGAAATGAAATGAAATGAAATGAAATGAAATTCTGGAGGCAATTGGGTGGCTCAGCTGGTTAAACATTCGATTCTTGATCTCAGCTCAGGTCTTGATCTCAGAGCTGTGCATTCAAGCCCCAAGCTGGACTCCATGCTGGGCATGGAGCCTACTTAAAAATAATAAAGAAATTTTGGTGATAATCATCAAAATGACCCAGTAAGTAGCTGTGCGACCTTAAGAAAGCTACTCAACCCATAATGGGCCTCAATTCCATGGACAATAGCTGAGCCACAACCACAATACCTATCTTTGACAATAAGCTTTTTTTTTCTGTCCTTCAGCAAAACATTACAGTTTCCTCAACAAAGATCTTGTATGTTGGTTAAAGCTGCATAATTTTTGTTGGTACTATGAATGAAATCATTTTCTATCCTACTTTCTAAGTAGCTATTTGTTGGTACACAGAAATGTTGTTAGATTTTTGTTAATCCTGACCTAATATATAAACAGTTCTAATAGTTTAAAAATATCTTCTCTAGGCAAGATCAGTTTTGTCTGTTCATCTCTAGTATTTTTACACTTTTCTTTTCTCTTTATTTTAATGGGGCCCTTATTTTATCCTGGGACCTCCAGAATAATGGAAAAGAGCGGTCAAAATTACAAGCAGTCATGTCTTGTTCCCGGTTTTTATTATGAGGTTTTAATGTTCTCGACATGCCTATTTCTACACTCCTTTTTATCAAACCTCCCAGATGCTTCCTTAGCAGATCTTTGCTAATCCATCCTTCTAAGCCTCCCTACTCTCATTTCTATTGAGAAAACAGCTAAGACTTTTAAGGGTGATTGCTAATTCTTGAGCCCAGTTATTTCCTTGGTTCAGCTGGATACAGCTCTCTATACTTGGTTTCCAGGGAGTAACATCGTTATCATATTCTCTCCATGTTACAAGTTCAACATACTCTCCTACACACCATCTTCATTTTCTCCTCATAATCCCCCAGAGAGGTACTCAAGATAGACACTACTAGTCTTACTTGACAGATGAGAAAACTAGGTTAAAGCGACTCAAGCAGGAACTATTTCTAACCTGAGTGAGGTCTTCCAGAATGCTTTTGTGGCTTCTACAACACAGCAGTAAGCCATAGTTCAGAGCCTGACTTCCTTTCAGCAAGTTAATAATAGGACAGGAAGAGCCAATCTAAACGAAACTGGAAGAATCGAAGAGGCCAGCTAATCTCCCTAACAACCCAGGTCTTTCCTGTCCAGTAGAAGCCATTTCTGAAGTTAAGCTTCCCCCCATGTCCTTGCCCCTACCCCACATCTGGCTGGGAACAGGGTGTTCCTGGGGGAGGGAGGGGTGCGTGCCAGGCTGCTCCCAACTCTCTTCAGGATATTCCCTCTTTCCTGAAGTAGTGGTTGTTGCTGCTGAGAACCAGCTGCCTGGTAACCTCCGTAGCCATCAAATACTTGCCTTATCTGCTGCTTGTAAGTGTTTCCTGCTCCATAAACATAGTCTGATAACAAATATAGAACATTTAAAAAAGGAAAAGCAAAATCATTCCAGGCAAAAGCAGTTAAGATTTTCTCCCCGCTATGTAGAAGGTGCGTTACCAGCCTGCTGGTAAGGCAAACAGGTTGCAACCTGTGTTATTATAGGCTGTGTGAGCAAGTGTTATTTCCCTGCTTCTCCCACAGGCTGACTGAACAAGAAAACAGGCAGGGCTCATTCATTCACTTCTCTAATACCTCTCAGCTTTATACCAGCAGCCAAAAGACTTATTCTGTAAAGGTTCCTACAAAGACAGTAAATAGCGGAGGGTTTTGAAGGTCCTGTGGTCCCTATTACAAGGACTCCAGTTAGCCACAGCAGCAAAAAAGCAACCAGAGACGATATGTAAATGAATGAATGTGCCAATAAAACTTTACTTACAAAAACAGGCTCTGGGCAGCACCTGGCTCCCAGGCTTTGTAGTCAGCAAACTGCATAAAGCAGAAAACGGGTGCTCCGGCTGTGTGTGAGCACAGGCTACATGTGTGAGAAACGGGGAAACCACAGATTCAAACTCCTACATGGACCACAGAGGTAACATACATGAGCAAAAATACTCCATGTTCCAGCTCTTATTCTTAAGCATTTAAGCACAAATACGGGCAGCCCAGGTGGCTCAGAGATTTAGGGCTGCCTTCCGCCCAGGGCCTGATCCTGGAGACCCGGGATCGAGTCCCACATCAGGCTTCCTGCATGGAGCCTGCTTCACCCTCTGTCTGTGTCTCTGCCTCTCTCTCTTTCTCTCTCTCTCTCTCTCTCTCTCTCTCTCTGTCTCTCTCATGAATAAATAAATAAAATATTTTTTAAAATAAATAAATAAATAAATAAAGCACAAATACTGCAAAATATGCCTCCACTCTAAGAAAAACTGCCCAGCCCTGGAGCGTGAGGAATGTCACTGGCATCCAGCCTGGACGCTGGCGAGACAACAAGGAGAGGCAGAACTTGGGGCCCATCTCAAGGGGCAGCCCCGGTTCAGCTCCAGCAATCAACACAGCTCTGCAGGTACACACACCCAGTGCTGCCAGAGCTCAGGGAGAGGCCAGCAAGCCTGCGACCCCCCCAATCATCTCAAAGGTTAAAACACTGCCTCAAAAAAAAAAAAAAAAAAAAAAAAAAAACACATGCTTCAGCCCAACAAGGGGCTTCTGTGGATATTTTTTAATTTTTAAGACAATGCACGGGCCCAACAAAATAAAAGCTAGCCCACCCATTTATGGTGTGTGTGTGTGTGTGTGGTGTATGTGTGTATATGTATATATATATATATATATATATATATATATATATATATCCTATACTCAGAGACAGCAAGGAGGAGCTGCAGCATTTCTCTGCCATATTTGATCAAAGGTATAACATTGGCCATCCAATCTGTTAGCAGATTATTTCTCAATCTGTTAAGGAGGGGGAGGGGGAATCCTCCCAAAAGGAGTCTTCATAATCAAATGTCCTGAGAACTAAAAATTAGATTGGTGTTTTTCAGTAAAGGCCCTAATTATGTCATGTGAGGGAAGATACTTCTTGGGCCATCTACTGCAGGATATTTGGCAACCTAGCCTTCCACAAAATGCCAGGAGCATCCTTCCTGGCCGTGGGATGTCTCCCCCCAAGCCAATCCCAAGAAAAAGCACCTCCACATTTCATTTTTTTTTTTACCCACATTTCAACCTTTCCTACAGCATGAAACCATTCAGTCAAAAGGCTATAAAAATTAACTGTAAGCCTTAACTACATTTTTCCCAAAAAAATTGTTTTCTTTTTTTTTAAAGATTTGTTTATTCATGATAGACATGGGGCGGGGGGTGGGGGGCAGAGACACAGGCAGAGGGAGGAAGCAGGCTCCATGCCAGGAGCCCGACACAGGACTCAATCCCACAGGACTCGATCCCGGGACTCCAGGATTTCGCCGTGGGCCAAAGGCAGGCGCCAAACAATAAAGCGTGTTTTAAAGTTACTCTTACAACTACCCTAAAAGTACTCAATTCCTAATATATGAAAAATGGGTGAAATGGGGGCCAATCTTAAAAAGGTCAACCCCCATCTCTCCACTAGGTAATAAAAGGTCTCTACCAAAAATGGAAAAACATGGGGCGTTTTTTGTTTCTTTTTATAAGGCCAGACTAGCTTTCTTTTTTGAACACAAAGAAGAAAATAAAGAAAAAAGAGAAGAAGGGAGAAGAATCTTGACATATGTCAAAACTCAAAGGCACTTTGGTGCCTGAAAGAGCCAGAGGCAGAAGGAATGCACAAAGCAGGCAGGGTGTGACACTGGGGAGGGGTGGAATTGTGGAAAACTAGAGGACCCAGACCCTGTGTCTAAAGGGGCAGGCTCTACTCCACTCCAGCTATTGCCGGCTTTTTCTGAGTTTTTATAAGAACTCAAAAATACAAGTTGCTATTTGAAATCCCATGATCTTCAAATAGTGGTGACTAAGAAATTATATTATTGGTAAAACCCAGCCCTTGCAGACCTACAATTTGCTTTTAATTCCATAATTTTGTAATGCTATAAAATTCTAAAAGAAAGAAAGAGAAAGGGGAAAGTGTCCAGAGGAATTTTTTTTTTAAGGGATTTAAGTTCCCCTTAAGGAAAAACAGATTGTACGGGAGGGAGGCTGCCACTACTATGCAAATATTATATGCTAAAATGAATTATGGGGTCAAAGGTCAGGAATGTCATTTCTGTGCAGTTAAGCCTGTTTCTCCTTTGCCAGCTCCTGACTGTTCAGCCCCAGGGAGTTTTAGGTCTGAAAAACAAACCTACAATCAACCTTATGATGTTTCCAGTCCAAAACCCTATTTTACAAGGTAACTGAATCTCAAAGACAGGAAAAAAACTGACAAGATCCCAACATGAATTTCCCAGATGCAGTGGAGCTAAAAAGAGCCCAATCTCTAGGTCAGGACTGCACTTCCTCTGGGCAACAGTCTTCTATCAATACTGAAGATGACAGATTATTCAGGGGTGTAACCATGCCCTGTGTCCAGCTACTCAGAGTCTCCTCTTTTCCACACCCAGAGTACAATATGTATTCATGAGCCCCCACCCTGTGGTGACAGCAGCCACCAAACACTGGCTACTTTCTGAGGCGGCTAATCCAAAGGGGGACACAGACTGACAAACATATCATTGTAGTCATGGGCCCTGAGTGTCACAGAAAGAGTACTAACACATGAATGAGGAAAAGGAGAAGAAAATGCATGCACTACCCAAGCTGATAAGCTTCCAAAAAGAGAGGTACAAGTCAATTCCTTAAAAGATACGTAAAAACTCAAAACTGTGATGCATTTGTGCATACACAAGGGAGAGGACAAAGGACAAGGCTTTCTGCATAGAAGGGACACAACCTGCCTCATGTCTTCCAGTTACCTGGTAAGAAAAGGTTTGTCCAGAAGTTAAATTACTAGCTAAATTAAGGTTTGGGGATTATCCGTGGCCTTCATTGGTATTTTGGTTTTTTTGAGAGAGAGAGAATCTTTAGCAGGCTCCATACCCAGTGCAGAGCCCAAGGCACAATCCCGAGATCACAATCAAAGCCGAAATCCAGAATCGGACACTTAACCAACTGAGTCACCCACCCAGGCACCCCTTCACATCCCCCAGTCTTCATGCCCAGTAGCTATGGCATGCCTCCTGGGTGACAGGGATAGGTCCTCAGTTCTTAAAGCCAGACATGCAGACCTAAGCTCAAATGCAGGTTCTGCTTCGCCCTGAGGCCTTGAGGAGACAACTTAACTTCTCTGAACCTCTCGGTTTTCATCTGTAAAGTGGACACAGTTACAGTCCTTTCCCACAGGGTTATTATAAACATTAACACAGAAAAATGCCTTACAACAGGAAGTGACATGCTGTCAATCAACGGCTCTTAGTATTAGTATTCACCAGCACTATCATATATATTGCTCAACCCTCCTAGAAATTTATTTAGGACCTGTTTCTTCTCTTTTAACAAGAGTCCCAACTCATTAGATTCCCAACTCATCAGATCTGGACTATCCAACACAGTAGCCATAAGCCAGAGGCAGCCACTTAAATTAAAATTAAAAATCCAGTTCCTCCAAGAAACAGACTCTTAAATATACAGAACAAACAAACTGATGGCTACCAGAGAGGAGGTGGGCAGGGGGGACGGGGGTGGAGATCAAGGAGACCACTTCCTGTGATGGGCACGGGGTATTGTATGGAAGTGTTCAACCAGTATATTGTACACCTGAAACTAATATTACCCTGTATGTTAACTAATTGAAATCTAAATAAAAACTTTAGGGGATCCCTGGGTGGCGCAGCGGTTTAGCACCTGCCTTTGGCCCAGGGCGCGATCCTGGAGACCTGGGATCGAATCCCACGTCAGGCTCCCGGTGCATGGAGCCTGCTTCTCCCTCTGCCTGTGTCCCTGCCTCTCTCTCTCTGTGTGTGACTATCATAAATAAAAATATATATATATATATATATAAATATATATTAAATAAATAAATAAATAAATAAGTAAATAATGAATGAATGAATAAATAAATAAATAAATAAATAAATAAATAAATGAATGAATAAATAAATAAATAATAAATAAATAAATAAAAACTTTAGAAATTTTGGCTCAAAAAACCACAACTCAACCCCTTTGCCATTTGCAGGTGCTCAATGGCCACATGTGGCTTGTAGCTATCATCTCAAACAGCACAGATCTAGAACACTTCTATAGCTGTCATTTCATTATTTCACACATAGTTTTTGTGATTATTCCACTTAGTGTGGAGCCTGGCCTAATTTTTTATTATTATGACTGACATCATGTAGCTCGGTTTACCACCCCAACCCTGTGAAATTAGTAGTGGGACTATTATTCCCGTTTCAGTAGATGAGCAAAATAGGCAAAAAGAGGTTAACTTGCCCACAGCCACACAGCCAAGGCAGTGCTGGCATCTCGCTATATAATTTTGAGAATGGAAATAGATTAGTGTGCAGAAATGCACCCCTCTCCCAGTTCTGAGCATTTAACCGTTGCTAGGTTTCTTCCCATGAAAGCGACAACCTTGTGTTATTCCACCTCCAATCCCCAGGGCCCACTTCGGCACTCCATAACACAAAAGATGGATGAATGCATCCCAAGGAATCTCTACTGAAATGCTAGCAGAACCACTGGGGCATCCTGTTTCCTCCAATGCCAGGAGATCTGACCTCACAGTCCACTAAAGCATCTCTCCTCTTCAAATCAGAAGAGAATCTATCTAGCCTGCATCACAGAATTTTAAAGCTGGGTTTCTTAAGAGCTCAGATGGCTAATGGATTTTCCTTATCTAGTTGACAGGTCCTGGCTGCAGGAGGAGGATGGGAGTCAAGAAGACACCCATAGCCCCAGGGTCTATGCACAATGAGACAAAAGGGTGACCAATTATGGAAGAGGACAGTGGGCAATAGGTAGAGTTGGCAGCTGTGTTACCACATTATTTTACAGATGAGAAAGCTGAGACCAGGAGGGAGCCTGCCTCCATCACGCAACCACCTCCAGGCAGAGCTCAGAACCATCTTACTGGCATGGCCTAGCAGGAAAAACACAGGCCACTTGGGGAAACCGCCCTAGAGTGGGAAAAAAAGAAAACCAAGGAAAATCCCCAAATCCTACAGCACGGTATCCTCAGCTCTTCTGGATCATTGCTCTGTCCCCCAAAACAGATCTAAAAAGCCACTGGAAATTTCTAGACTCATTTTGAGCTGCCCTTCTTGTCCTATACAAATGACAGCTGGAACAAGGCAGCTTGCTAAATGCCAAGAACACCGGCTGTCAGAAACACCCAGAAAGCTGCAGCGCTGCTCACTACAGCCTTCATCCTGCTGGTGTGGGCACCATCCCCAGTGGCCCTTTACCTGCTCCTTATTATTATTGTTCAGTAAGCCGGGTTTCTTTTTCTTTTTAATGGGGCTTGTGGATGTGTCCTGTGGCGAGTGGCCATTGGAAGAATGCGGAGGGCTGGGAAACTTTCTTTTCTGGGCTGTTCTCTCTGTGGAGCCAGGATCTGAAAGAGACACACAGGACCACATATTTTAAAGCAGTCAGGGAGGCCTAGGCTCCCCCAGGGAGGGTGTGTGTGTGTGTGACACAACGCATTCTGTCCCCGGGCCCGATGCCACTGTAGTGTTGATCCTTCAGGAAATCCACTCACCCCATCTCTTCAGTTAACTGTCTCAAAGGTCAGACACTCTCTCTTCAGCCTAACACCACTTTTGTTAAAGTTTTAATTCACTGCCAGAAAATAAAAATTGAGATGCTTCACATAATCTGGACTTCTGGCTTCTCTTAAAAAACAAACAGAAAACAAAACACACCACAAATCTGAGCCTGCGTGGCCTTATGGCATCAGACAGATCTGAATACCAACCACTGAGCCATTTTTTAGTTGGAAATGTGCTCTCCATTTGCCAATATTCCCACCCTTCTCTCCTGTGTCCCAGTTGACCTGGTTATGACTCAGCCACCATGAGTTGTGTCATACAGATACCAGTACCGTCCTTATCCCAAAGAACTATTTCTTCTCCATACCCATGCTTGATGGCAACAGCAGGAAACCATGAGAAACAGGCCAAAAAGGCCACACACTTCAAGCAACCGAAGGAAGGCACACATACTTCTTTGTGGAAGATGACAACATTCACTGTGTTGTGCTTGTGACTTCTTTTCCAAAGGGACAGACACAAATGACATTCTCACTGATTCTCACCTGAGACATGCCAGCCCCCTGCCTCCCAACTGATTCACTCCTTCCCATGCTGACTCTTCTAGCATCTCATTTAAACACAGACACTTCCACCACCACCCAGCCTTCACCTGCAAGGCCTTGGATCCGTTCCATGCCCGGTGGCTATCTCATTAGCGTAGGGATGAAATAATGACACAGCGTGGTGTGCCTTACATTCTGAGAAAGAGAAGTTACAGTCCCGAGGAAAGACAGCTATGTAAAAGCAAAGGTGATGGGGTGAGATGTGAAATCCAGAAGGACAACTATCCCCAATGCTAACCTGACGATGCTCCTCCCCACTGTTTTTAACTTGTTGGCAAGCCCCAGCACGCAGGACACACCGTGCGCCACCAACCTCCATGTGTGGACAGGGGCCACTGGGGCAAGTGAACATGGTTTGGTACAGACACACGCAAGGCCTCCTAGGGGTTTCCCTCCAACTGAAAGTCAGAGCATCTTCCAGGACATTCATTAAAGGAGACAGTGAAGGACTTCTGCAAAGGCTGATCCAGTCTCACCAGGCAATTTCAGAAAAATCCTGAGCAAGTGCTGCAGGCGCTGCACTGACCCATAGCCCCGAAAGGATATTAAATGCTAACTGCAAGCACCTTGAGGGAGAAGAAACCCCAGAGCTTGGATCATCCCACAGACTTCAAAATGGAGGCAGAGAGCCCAAAGGATGACCCAAAGGCACACCACAGCTAGTTAGGCAGGAAAATCCACCAAAAAGGTGCAGCCTGGGACTGGTGTTCCCCTAGAGAGAATCTCCTCTCTCCCATACCCAACAGAGGTCCTTAACCCACTCCACCCTCATAAGTGAAGACTCTCCATCTCCACCTTGTCTTTGACTCAATAATCTGCTCCTAGAAACACATGCTACAGATAAGAGTCACAGGGAGCAAAGCACCCCCAAGATGATTCAAATGAAGTACTGGGTGTTGTACCCACACCTGGAAAAGATTGAAATGTCCACAAACTGAGGAGTGATCTAATAACATACCATAGCCATACAGTGGAATAATCTTTTTTTATTTTTTTTTGCATAATCTCTAAGCCCAATGTGGGGCTTGAACTCACAACCCCGAGATCAAGAGCCACATGGTAGAGCATGCTCTATCAACTGAGCCAGCCAGACGCCCTTCATACAGAATATTCTATGGTCATGAAGAATAAGAAGGCACCTCTATGCAAACAGATGCATGACTATCTCCACACGTCGTATCGGGTTTAAAAAGCAACACACATTGAGCACCATTAACAGATTAACACACACACACACCAAAAATGATGTTATATATCTAAGTTGGCACAAGCCTAGAACATTCCCAGATGAACACAAAACTACTAAAAAGCTCTCTACGGGGACTATCGGCTGCCTCGGGGGAGGAAAACATGCAGGCAGTGGGGGAAGGATTATTTTTCACTGTGTACCCTTGTGTACTTTATCTATCAGGAGCATAGACGACTTTATGAAAATAAATTTAAAGTGAGGTATTTGGGAGGTTCAGTTGCATGTAAAAAAGCAGCACGTGCAAATCAAACCCAGTAATGAGCAAATGGCAAAGGCCTGGTTCAGAATAAACAATGTCACCAGATGGACGAATTTGGGACCAATTACCACAGGCTTGGGGAGGGCAGGAAGACTCAAGTCTGGGAGTTGTTCAACGTGGAGCTGATAAACCCCAAATAACTCTGCTCAAGGATCAGAGTATGTGTGTTTAAGAAAGGTGTTTTGGTTGGGGCACCTGGGTGGCTCAGCTGCTTAACATCCGACTCTTGATTTCAACTCCGGTCTTGATCTCAGGGCCGTGTGAGTTCAAGCCCTATGTTGGACTCCAAGCTGGGTGTGGAGCCTATTAAAATATAAGTAAAAAAATTGGGGCACCTGGGTGGCTCAGTCGGTTACACATCTGCCTTCGGTTAAGCATCTGCCTTGGGCTCCAGTCATGATCTCAGGGTCCTGAGATAGAGCCCAGTGAGTCAGGCTCCCTGCTCAGCAGGGATCCTACTTCTCTTTCTCTCCCTCTGCCCCTCCCCTTGTTCATCCTCTCTCTCAGAGAAACAAATAAGATCTTTAAAAAAAAATAAAACTAAAAAACCACAAAGGTGTTTTTGAGGCCCCAAGGAAATGCATCCCAGAAGAAAGGGCATCTTGGCCAGCCCAAAATTGAAAGCAACTGGGCAAAGCTTTTGGTATTTATATGTTTTATTTGTGGATAGATTTTTTTTTTAAAGATTTTATTTCTTTTAAAGACTTATTTGAGAGAAAGAGAGCGCAACCAGTGGCAGGGCAGCAGAAAGGGGAGGCAGAGAGAGGGGGAGTGAGAACCCCAACCAGACCCTGTGCTGAGCATGGAGCACAATGTGGGGCTCGATCTCACGACCATGAGATCATGACCGGATCCAAAATCAAGAGTCAGATGCCCAACTCACTGAGCCACACAGGCGCCCCTGTGGGTAGATTTTTAAAGAAGAAAGTACAGGAGCAAAGACACACCAGCAGAAAAGTTAAGGGAACATTTCAGGACAACAAGCAAGTCATGTGTTTCCAAGATTCTTAATGGAGCCCGCTATATTTTGGAAGGGACAGCTTCCCTCATTGCAAGAACACCTGGGCACACTCCCACTCGCTGCAAACAGAGCTCCCAAACACACTGATGACAAAAAGCACCCCCGCGTACTTCCCAAATATTCACAGAGGGGTGGGACTAGCCTCCTGGAGAATCATTGTGCTGGAATACAGAAATACGGTAGATGATCAACAGAGCCTCGCCAACGCTTAGCCAGCCTCCAGGAGACAGAAAGGACACCAGCCCCTCCCTGGACAGCATAAGTTACCCACCTGTGACTGAGACGCCCTGGGACGGTGGATCCCAAAAAGCAGTCTCCACACTAGCAGCAGTGGCACCACCTGGGAATTTTTAAGAAAGGCACAGTCTCAGACCCTACCCCAGAGCTATAGAATCAGAAACTCTAGAATAGAGCCTGGCGATCTGCGGTTTAAGGAGCCCTCCAGAGAATTTGGATGCACACTGGTTTCAGATCCTCCAGGATGTGTGTTTAGGAGATGCAATCCCAGTTCCCAAGTGTAGAGAACTCCGTTCTACACTGAGAAGCCTGTCTGCTCTCCTGCCCCACAGCCACCTGTGGGCTCGGTCTGGAGCTGTGAAGACAGAATGGAGCAAGGAGGCAAGGCAAGAGAATAAAACAGCTAAATAGGAGAAGATGCCAGGCCAGCCTCTCTACTTGTCAGGCTCCATCTGCAAAATAGGAGAAGGGATAAAAGGAACAGACCAGAATTTCTCATTTCGCATCCATGAAGGTGCTTCAGGGACCGACAATCTACAAGCCACAGTTCTGTACAAGGACACAATTTCCTGAGAAGAGGGCCATGCCTACATCACCTTGCCAAGGGTGTCATCAACTCCAAAGATTTAAAACTACAGAACAACAGGATCTAAAGGTGTCTTCTGAACTTTCAAATTCGTTATTCCGAGGAAAAGAGAGAAATATACACATAAGCAATATAAGCCACAGACAGCATTTTACCCAAGCCAGGAAACCAAAGGGGAAACCAGGGTCCTGCTCAGAGACAGAGGGATTGGAGAGAAGGCTGTATGTACCTTAGAGGACCCCAACCTTCTAGTCCCAGCAAACCACAAAAACCCCAATTCTGTTCCTGGCTACCAACACACCAACTCCCTCTAGAGTTAATGAGAGATTGGAGGCAGTGTCCAAGGGGCAGTAGTTTAACAGGTTCCAAGCAACAGACACATCTGTCAAAGGCACAGGCTTTCAGTGAGGCTCTTAAGGAGAAAAGTGAGAAATGCCAACTGGATTCACAGTCCTTCCAAAGCATGAGGGAGCAGGAGAGCATTCTGACTTAAAAACCTTCCCACTAAAAAAACAAAAACAAAAAAAAAAGACCTTCCCACTCCCAGGCCTCAGGTGGGGACAGAATAGTGGGTGTGGACATCACTGAAGTCATGGCAACAAGGCTGCCTTAAGAACCATTTCATCCAGAAAGAAAGCTGAGTCAAGCTTTTTTTCATTTTTTAATGATTTAATTCTGACAAGAATTTATTGCTAAACACATCTATAAACTTGGAAGGATGACAAACAGCCACTGTAGACTGAATTACCAGGGAAATGGTTCACTCTTGATCTGAAAGTCCTCTCCGTGGTGTAGCAGGGGCCTGCGATTCTACTACTGCATCAGCCCACCAGTGACCCTCTGCCTCCTAACTCCCATCTCCCCCGAAAAATAAGTCTGGTTTTGAAGGAGTTAACGTGGGCAAGGGAGGACAGCTCCTCCAAGCAAAGGACAGAGCGGTGACGCAGGAGAACAGCTTGGCATGGATCAGGAAACAGCAGAACTTTCCCCTCCTGTGACATTTCACTGAAATCTTAATAATACGGGAAGGCCTACTGGGTATTAGGAACATGTGAGGAGATCCTTCTCCAACTCGTGTCTTGTGAACCACCAGGAATAATCCCACTCGGCCCTTCCTAGATGTCCCCTGACCTCAAGGACACCAAACTTCAAGATAACCCAGCCTCTTAGCTTTCCCAAGCCACGAGTATTAACAGCTAAGGCTTTCTCTTAATACATACGATGTCGGGGGCCCTGTTCAAAGTGCTTTTGGTATACTTCCGTCTAAGTCACTTGCCCAAGATGACACAAGTAGCAGGGCTGGGATCTGAACCCAGGCCATGTGACTAGGAGGCTCACACATGGCCTCAGGCCGGGGACTGTCCTCAGTTTTATAGCAAGAGGGCCACATAACACAGGGTCTATGTTTAAGAGCACACTCTCATTTGGCCTTTTTCCCTCGGAAATACAGATGATGGCCTGGGGGTTGGTGAGGTCGCTGTATTCCCCAGGAAGCACACTCACCTTCCAATGGTGGCACCAGAACATGGGCCGTGCCACAGAACAGGCTGGGGGCAGGGGGCCTGCTTGGTCATCTCCTCTTCCCACGCCTCTCTCCCACACTCCCTTTTTTTTTTTTTAAGATTTTATTTATTCATGAGAGGAGAGAGAGAGAGAGAGAGAGAGACACGCAGGCAGAAGGAGAAGCAGGCTCCCTGTGGGGACCCCAATGTGGGACTCAATCACAGGACCGTGGGATCACGGCCTGAGCCAAAGGTGGACGCTCAACCACTGAGCCACCCAGTTACCCACACACACATCCTCCAAGCTCCCTTCCAATCTCCATCCAAGCCTGCCAGACTCGGCCAGCATAGGCACCCCACCCCCACCCACATCCGGCACCTGAGTCATGGCCTTCGACATTCTCCAGAGTTTGGAAATGACACACCATGACAGAGAATTGTCTCCTTAGGAGAGGGAAAGGGCCCCAGCAGGACAGAAGGGCACTTCCCCAGAAGTATCACCCTGTGTGTTTCTGTGGGTGTTAAAATGTCCTTAATGCTGTGGACGGCCAGCCTGTGGGCCTGAATGAAAAGAAACCCCATCAACAAGCCGACAGGCATCGTGGATCACATAGGGTGGCCAACTGCCGGTTGTCCAGAGTCGGACAGTCTGACAACAATGCAGGACAAGCTGGCCACCCTGCACAGAAGCTGGAGCACATATGCTGATAAACCAGGTCACAGATGAAACAGGCAGGGTGTCACAGTGGTTAGGACCTCCGTGCAGTGCAGCTTAAGGAAGCTACTTAACCTCTCTGTACCTCCGTCCTCTGCAGGATGGAGATCAGGGTACCTTGGGGAGTTACAAAAGGATTAAATGAGTTCAGTCATGGGAAGCTCTCAGCATAATGCCCACAAAGAGTAAGCGCTCCATAAATCATAGCTGTTTTTCCAAGCCCACAATCATCCCTCCTCCTCCTCCTCCACCTCCTCCTCCTATCCCTCTTCCTTCCCCATGCCTCCGTTGCAAAATCAGGCCTAGTTTTCTCAGAGGAGCCTTCTTAAGGTCAGAGTTATGGAAACGGCGGCCGGCCCATATAACATGGAGACAGGAATGAGCTCGAGACAGGACTTCTGCATTTCAGACTGTGAGCAGTCCGGCTTGCCTCCCATCACTGCGAATGAAGGCACGGTGGGCAGCAGGGGCCTGCGCTGGCTGGGGCTCCAGGGCAGTGGCACACAGCACTCACGGTCACTGCCAGCCCACGCCATAGCCTCCTTCAAACAGGACCACTCGCCACTCTCCTAGGAGCAGCAGAGCGCAGCCTGGTTAATCATCTCAACGTGCTGTCCAAAGGCACAAGCAGGTACCCACACAGGCCTCCCTCCCCGGGAATCAGAGGGCCCTCGCCTGCCAGTAAGGACATCATCATGAAACCAGAGCCTGGAATTTCCCTCAGGCCCAGAGCAGAAATGAGAATGGGGGAGCAAAGGCATGGGGCTGAGAAGGGGGCAGGATTTTTTCTTCCAGCAGATAATACCCAAGCCATGAGGAACACATGAGCGAAAAGAAATGATCTGGGCACACGCTGACCGTCTAGAACCACACCACCCCGAGGACAGGCTGCAGCCCACCCGAGGGGCCTGCCGCAGCCTCCTCCAGAAAAGCCAGCCTTGTCAGGGGCCTCCCTGCCTGAGAAGGTGAACTTCTCACCCAGACCACGAAAAGGTCTGGTATGGAAATAAGGCTGTGGAACAAAAGGGTCATTCTCAACTTGGGGGGAAAAATGTCACTGTTCTAGGATTCCCGAGCACCTCGGAGGCAAAGCAAGCGAGGGGCAGGTAACCCTGAAAAGGGGCGCTTACCTGCCATTGAGAAAGCTCTGCTGCTCACAGGGCCTCCCCTCTCTTTGAAAGAGAACTGAGGCTCTCACCCGGCAGACATTCCTGCTTCCGGATCCTCAGCAGCCTCTCCCAGGGGGAGGAGGAAGCAGCAAAGAGGACAGGCTAAGAGTCACCACTTACCAGGCCAGCCCCTGTCTTGTATGCACTAGGTGGCCCGGCTCGGGAGGGTCACCCTCACCTCTCTGCAGTCGGGCAGTCTGAGGCAGGGGACGCGCCTCCATGTCCCCAGGCTCCCGGCTCTAATTTATCACCCTCGACAGCCAGCAGCCCGGCGAAGCCTCAGCACACTGCACTGAAGAGCCATTTGCTTCACCGGATGTGAATAAACGCAACAAACTGCCCTTGTCCTGCAGGCTGGTGTGAGAAGTCCAGAAGGGAGTGTGCTGGTTTGCGATGTGAAGGGGTTTTGAGCTTTTTTTCTTTTCTAATAATTTTCAAATTAAATTAACCTTACTTCCGATATGCCTCTCCTTAGAAAGCCATATTCCCGCTACGTGTCGGTGCATTTCTCCCTCTGAAGGTCCCTCCCTGAAAATCAGGCGGACTGAGGCGACTCAACAGCATTCCCATGGAAAAGGTGAACCTCCAAACTCCAAAGGCAGGACAGAAATTGCCTCAATCCAGGGAAAAGAGGCTGATTTACAAATGAATTCAACTGTGTTGCCCTCAACAACTAGAGGAGGTTGCAACCACCCAGCCCCCTTCTCCTCCTCCAGGGGGATGAGGCCTTCTGGAAAAAGGACAACATCTCAACAGGAATTTCCTGGTTCAAGAATGCCAAGCTCTTTCAAATTTCACAAAAGCAAGGGGAGGCAGGGCCCAACCCCAGGCCAGAAACCACGGCACTCCACCCACCGCCTGAGCAGGCCCAGGCCCAAAAGGCTGCGTGCGCCCAACGTGTGTGCGTCTCGGGGGCCCGTCAGCTATGCCAAGTCACCACAAAGACAGTGTGGAGGAACCGGTTGCCTTTGGCCTTTGCTGCGCGGGGAGGGCTCGCGGGGAGGGCTCGCGGGAGGAGTGGGTCCCTGTGGAGGAAACTATTTGCATTATTTATCCAGGCTGAGCCCAGTCCCTCCCATCCCTGGGCCCAGCTCAGGTTCTGGAAAGCTCAGGTGCTGGTGGGTGGCTTGCAAAGGGGGGGAGGGGGACCGGGACTGTGGCCATCAGAGAGCCAACTCAGAAATAAAAGGGTGACTGCCTCGGGGCAGCCAATAAGGACTAGCGGGCTTAGAGGAAGGAAGGGGAAATAAAGAGGCTCAAATGAAGAAAAGGGAGCTGCTGGTAACCAGGCGATGCTCCCCACACTGCCCTGGGCTGGCCTGGGTGTGGGGCCTCTCGGGTAGTCACCTTGATGAAGATGAAAAGTGCTAGGACACTGGGGAGGGAGAGGGGGACAGGCCCTCTAGAGTCAGCTCATTGTGGTCCTTTGACAAAGCAATGATTTCAGACCAGGTTGCATCTTATTGTAGGGAAGGTCACCTGGGTATCAGTGCGCCCACCCACTCCCTGCTCCCCAGCTCAGGAATGTACAGGACAGCCCACTGGCACAGCCAAGACAGCACGTCCTATGGAAGTCAAAGATGGAAGAAGCAACTTCAGTGTCAGCACCAGGAGGCTGAAATGCAAAAAAAACGCTCATGCAGCCATAAAATGGGATGAAGAAGAAATCTCATCTTTATGTGCTGGCACAGAACAAAACCTAAGTGAAAAAATTTTGGCCAGAAATAGACCTGAGGGAAAGAAATTGGGGCTGTCTAGGCTCTGGGTTTGCAGAGGCCTGGAGAAACACCCAGGAAATCAGGAAACACTCCCGACTCCTCCTTCAGTTCCTTCTGACGGCGTTCGGGTATTTAACTCTTTAAAATATTTTTAAGTGGCTACGAGAAAACCGGAGCTCTCACTACATGCCAGGGGCTGCATCTGCACCTCCAGCACCCAGCACGCAGAAGGCGCTCAGGGCTGGCCCAGCATTCATCAGGTGACACTTGCAGGGGGCTCGGGTGTTTAGAACAGCAGAAAGCCATGATTCTCACAGGGTCTCCCCAGGAGACGCTCGGCAATGTCAAGAAACAGTTTTTTGGTTGCCACAACTAGAAAAAGGAAGGTGGTGGGAGCCAGGCATGCTGCTGACCCTACAGTGCACAGAACAGCCCCACAATGATCAGGCCCAAAAATGTCAATAAAGCCGGGGTTGAGAAATCCTGGTGTCAAGAAGCTTCCAGTGAGCTGCCAGGCAAGTCCGACCTTGTGTAAATACACCACCCACGGAGGCATCTGTATCTATTAAAAAGGAAAATAATGCCTAATACTTCACCTGGTGGCCCTGACTGCACATTTCAAACAGAAGAAAACAAGAACCGGAGCGTCGACAAAGTCACTGAGCAACTAGCTACTAGACATCTAGCCTACCCAGGGAACTGTCAGGGGAAGGTCCCCACCCTGGAGGAAAGACAGCCAGAGAAACATATAATAATAGTAGCTGCCCTTGGCTGACCACTTATCTCTGAGGCACTGTTCTAAATGCAAGTGATCAATTTATTCACTCCTCACCAAGGTTCTACAAGAAGGTAGATACTAAGTAGTCCCATTTTACTGATAAACTGAGGCCCAGGGCAGCCCAGGTGGCTCAGCGGTTTAGCACCACCTTGAGCCCAGGGCCTGATCCTGGAGACCTGGAATCGAGTCCCACGTCAGACTCCCTACATAGAGCCTGCTTCTCCCTCTGCCTGTGTCTCTGCCTCTTGCTCGCTCGCTTGCTTTCTGTGTCTCTCGTGAATTATTTATTTTATTCCAATAAAATCTTTTAAAAAAAGAAAGAAACTGAGGCCCAGAGAAAAAAAGAGGCCCACGATGAACCGGCTGGTCAACAGAGGATGAATATAGAATATATTCTACAGAGAATGTGAAACTGATCGATTACACACTGACCAGGAAAAATAGCAGGAGTTTCTGAACAACTCAAGTCAGGAGAAAGGGCAGAGCTGGTAAGAGAAACAGTGCTTTTTCTCAAACAGGGCTTGTGCAATTCACACCTACTATTTCTTAAGATGCGATTTGATTATCCTCTTTAGAATCCCTTCTGGGGAGGGATGATGTTTTTGCAGCCATTTGATGGATGCAATTCCAAGAAACAAAGTCATTTATGTGCTCAAATGCATGCACCCCAATTCAGCATGTGGTGCTGGCAGTTCCACTGCAGCTGGTTCCCACCCCAAAGCTCTTAACTGCACCAGTCAGTGGACTGGTTCCCTAGTTCCCTAGGGCTGTCAATACCACCTTGTAATTCTCTTATCACCGAGGGTGTGCTTGCTGTGGGCCAATGTCAACCTGGCACTATTGTGCAGTGTGCGGGCTAATCAGCCGTACCACTAGGTCTGACTCCAAGCACTGCCACCTGCCAGCTGTGTATCCTCTGGCAAGTCTCTTTGAGCCTAAGTTAAATTCAGCTACGATTACTAGAACCTTCCTGAAAGGGTTATTAGAATTCAATGAGACAACACATGCCACACAAACACATCTCACGTGTTATCGTGAAAGCTCAACACAGTCTCCCCAAGTCTTTTCGCACCTTCACCTACATGTGCACCAGACTAGCTCTTCCCTGACTGTTCCTGGGGGGGAAAAAAAGTTTCACTGAAGACACAAACTTTCCCAGCAAGTCCTCAGGCTGACACAGGTTCAGCCAAGCCAGGCTCAAAATCCCTGCATGGCTCAGAATTTCCTCCCAGATAAAAGCAGAACAGTCTAGGTGGCCCTCAGGACCCCACCCCATGCTTCCGGACAGAACCTCTTCCCCCAGACTCCTCCTTCTCAGCCTTCCTCAAATGAGGGTCTCGAAACTGGCCTGATTCCTAGCAACCTGCAGAATGTATTAAGGATGCCCAACCTTGCAGGGTTAGAGCCTACGTGGTGCCTGGCACAGAGCAAGCACTCTGCAGAGAGGTGTTCCTTCCCTGCCCATCATCTGCCCTATCTTGTTCAGTCCTACCTTCACAGCTGCCCACCTTAAGCCAAAGCACCAGGACTATTCACTTGCCCCTTGACAGCAGCCTTCTTCAAACCTAGGTAAGACATGCAGCCCCTGCTTAAAATTTGAGGGGCTTATTCTACACACTCGATAGCTTGTCCAGACCTACCATGCCCCCACACATGATAGGTCTTTTCTCCTTTTCTCCCCCTTCCACCGAACCGTAACCACAATGGCTACACACAAGCCAAGCTCATGTATACTTGCTGACACTTCCATCTAGAATGTTCAATGCCTAATCCTCCCATACCTGGCAACTACTGCTCTTGGCTCAAACATCACCCTCCAGCCTCCAGCCCCCTTATCATCTTGAAGGGTGGGTCTGGTTGTGTGTATCTGTGTGTGTGTGCGCACGCGCACATTTGTGTGTTGCTGTTCCTGCTGTCTTCACTGCAGTCATCTCTCACTGAAAATTATCAAAAATTATTTTCTTCTTTTGCTAATTCACTGATTTTTTTTTGTGTCTCCACCGAAGTGTGAGCTCAATCTCTGTTTTTCTGTCTCTCTTTGCCATAGACCAATGCGTGGCTCAGAGGTGTCCCCAAGGACACACATCTGACAAGGTAAATGAGCAACAAGGGTTAGCTAAGGTCGAAGGTGTGCCAGCAGACCTGACTCACCAGAAGCTCCCCTTCCCTGTTTCCGGTCTACGAATTTCACCCAGCAATCCAAGAAGGCAGGAGGGGTATAAAGTTAATGGGGAAGAGGACACAAAAGAGGCCGTGGCCATTTCAGGGTCCGAAAGAGAGAAACCAGAACCCTAGAGAGGAAATTCCCTTCTCAACAGGTACTCGGCCATTCCAGTTTCTTGCCTAAAGAGCCCATTTCCCCAGAAGGAGGGGATTAAGTAAGGATTTATTTCCCGAGCAGGATGGGGCCTTGCAGCTAAACACAATTACTGAGAAACCATAGGGGGAAACTCCGGAGGTTTTCACAAGCCACCTATTTTCCAGCTCTGCATTCTTCTTGCAGAGAGCTATTGTCTCAGAGTCACCTAGAGTTAAAGAGGGGTAATGTCTTTCTCCAGGGAAAACAAGCTCCCCACTGGGAGACCACCCACCATGATGACCATTTAACCAAATTTTTTAGTCCTGATTCTCTGCCCTTTTTCTCCACAGACCATTTTAAGCCTGAGGATAGGGCACCTGGGTGGCTCAGTCGGTTGACCCTCTGCCTTCAGCTCAGGTCATGATCCCCGGATCCTGGGCTCTAGCCCCACATCAGTCTCCCTGCTCAGCGGGGAATCTGCTTCTCCCTCTCCCAGTCTGCTGCTCCCTCTGTCTGTGCTCTGTCAAATAAATAAATTATTTAAAAAAAAAAAAAAAGCCTGAGGATCTCTTTTCAACCCCTCCCTGAATTCTCACTGGGATGCTCTGATTCTGTCCCCACAATACGAGGCAAGGACTCAAGGGGAGCAGAGCACAAGCACGTCTCTAAATGAGTGCAGCAGTGTGGACTTGGTAGGTTCACCTTCTTTCCATCCAGCTCTTAGCCGTGAGTCTGCTCTGTATGGTCTCTACCTCACCAGGCTCGACAGAAGTCTAGATTTTAAATGTACACATTTCCTCAAACGATTCCCACCAACTAGTGTGTCTGGTCCCAACCCAAGAAATAGCAACCTAGTTTGAATGACATTCCCCCAACTGCTGTGTGGAGATAGGGGGTTCCTGGAGGTGGCTAAAGAGATGAAGGACAAAACCAAGTCACCTTATTAGGAAGGGGGCCCTAGTGACAACTGATATGATGATCCAGTGACCTAGATGGGGAGCAATGGCCAGAACATCAGCCTACAACCATGGCCTGGGCCAGTGGTGGTCCAACGAAGGACCTCAAACTGAATTCAGCCCACTTCCAGCTAGGCGATACTTTTTAAATTAGCAGAAATTGTACCTAGAATAAATCCAGATTACTAGCTTCTCTTAAACAACAGAGAGCAGATGATCTGGCCACTTAGGGTCTCTATTTCCACATGAAACAATCCTCCAAGCTGCCCACCCTCCACGGATAGAAGGCAAAATTCCC